GTGTCAGCACTGCTCAGCAGTAACAAAAACACCCCTGTGTTATCAACACTGTTTCCAGCACCAATCCAAAACACAGCCCCATACTAGCTACTATGGAGAAAATTAACTCCATCCCAGCCACAACCAGCACACGGGGTTAAATGACACTCAGCCTTTTCCAAAGTGTATTACCAAAGCTGCTAGAAAAAAAGTTACTTATTTGGTGTTTATCTTGCTGTGACACCCGGGGGTTCCTGTGAGGATGGGCCCTGCTGCACTGAATGCTTTGCAGAGGCAAGTGCTGTACTGTTATTTTTGTTTGGATTTAAGCCTTCCCCTGCAGTGTTTGCCAACTTCAACGTGGCAGCATGACTCCAAGGCAGGAGAGCCCAAAAGGGAAATGGACTGGGGGCTTTGCTGGATAAACCAATTTAAAATGCAGGGAAGAAAATGAAACTGTGAAAAATTAATCACTTCTTCCAAACCCCCCCTGCCTTTTGTTCTTACAATCTAGATATGCAAACTGCTGGGGAAGGGAGGGGAGGACGGCGGGCTTTAAAATGTAGTTAGACTGGCAGCATGTTAATGCGGTTATTTTCACTCTCTGGGTTTGGTGTGAAGTCCCCCCCGTGACAACGGCACGGAGCACTGCTGGTGTTTTATGAGCTGTGTCGCTAACACGAGCGGACCGATGGCCAAAAGCATCGGTGTTGTGAACGCTCAGCTCCCATGAAAATCCAGCCCTTCCTGCCGCAGGGGGGCCAATGCCGAAGGGGGACCTGAGCACCAGCCAAACCACCCAGTGGGGACCACTGTTCGGTGCTGAGCGGCTCAGCCCCCAATCCAGGAGCTCGGCACCTCTGAAAATCAGCTTCTCCCTACTCGGAGCTCTCCTCCCGCGGGACGTAGTGTCGCAGGCTGCGTTTCACTGCACAGCAGGGAAACCCAGGCAGCCGCCTTGTGCTCAAACACTCGTGTTTTTGTTCTCTGCTAATTGCAGACCCACAAGGAGACACCCAGCACAGCGAGCTCAGTGCCTTTTTATTTGTGCACATTGTCGCTCAGCAGTATTCAAAGTTATACATGCAGTAGTGGTTATGAGTTTGCGCAGTCTGACTTACAATATCGCCCACAGGCAAGGGCTAATAACCATTACGAGGGCACTAATAGATTTTTGCACATGTTGGTGGCTGCTCCTGTTTATCACTCTCCTCTTTTCTTATACCTCGGCCCACATCTGGCTTCAAACAAATGCCTTTCTTAGGTGTGGGCCTTGGAAAACTGGCATGAACTCGTGTTCGGTGCCTGGGCTGAAGGCAGAGCCGCTGGAGGAAGGGGAACACATGGCGATTCCCTGGGGCAGCTCACTGGGAAGCTCAGGCTGAGATGAGTTTGCTTTTATGTGTCCGGTTTTCCTAAAATTCTCCTTGTTTTGGAGCGTTGTTGTTTCTGCATCAGGCATGATGGAACTGCCAGATATGGATCACTTGGCACAAAGAGTGCCGTGGGGGAAAAAATGCCTCCTGAAGAGCTCAGCAGTTTGTGCTGGTGCTGGGCAGTGGGGAGGGAGGTGTTAAGAACTCAGGTGAGGGTGGATTTGTTGCTTGTGCTGCACTAGGTACAGCCAGTCTGTTACCACGGGCAGGAGGCAGCAGGACTCGAAGGCGAGGACGCTGGTGAGGGACAGAGGAGCAGGTCACGCGGTGAGAAGCTGGAGGATGTTCAGCCCCACGTAGTGAGAGAGGAAGAAATGCAAGATGCCCAGGGCTGACGCTGCAATGAGAATCCAGAGAACTCCAGTGCTAAAGTATATCGGGGCGAGCCTGGCAGGAGAGAGGGAGCCTGCTGAGGGTGAGCATCGCTGCTCTCACCGGGAACGGTCCCTTCCTCCCTGGAGAAGGGGGGTGGAAAGGCAGCCCCTGGCTGTCCCCTGTCCCCTGCGTGGGGTCCCATGCCTGGCTCCTGCCTCGAGGGAGCACACATACCCCTGCAAGGGCTCAGGGCAGCTCCAGCCTTGCCCTGTATCTGTGTTTCTGGCCCCAGCCCCGTACCCATGCCCACATTATGCCCCAGGGAGAGCTTGGCAAGGCTCAGTCATGCAGGGACCCCGAAGGAGCCAGAGGGAGTCCCAAGCTTCCCCAAAGCACTTTATGTTCCCAAATGCAAACCCCCAGGGGGGGTTACCACGTACTCCAGGCTGGCAGAGGCATTTACCTTTCTGAGGACGATGCCCTGTAACCCATAAAGTAGCAGTAGCGGGCATAGAGATAGAGCAGACCCAAGGCTGCAGCCAGACCTGCAGTTGAGAGAGATCACAGTGACCATCTCCAAAGGCTTTTTAGAGCTACTTTGAGTCAAGCAGGTAGCCCAAAGTGAAGGAATAGAGGCTCTGTGCCCTCTGGCTCTACCCTCCCATCAGAGACAGAATTACTGCCTAATTTATTGTTCAGAAGGTGAGCAGGACCTGAGGACTGAGCCGGCACTCAGGGAAACAGATCCAGTGACAAACCAGGTCACGGTCTGTTCTCACCTTGATGGAAGAAGAGTCCAGCCTGCCACAGAAGTGCCAGGAAAATGGGAAAATATTCGGAGGAGTTCACCCTGGCAGGAAAGAGGAAGGTCATAAACAAGGGAAAGGAGGAAGATCTTCCTTTTTCGCTTCCGTTAGCAGGTTCCAGAGGCTGGAGGCTGTTGCTTTTTAGCGCTGATGTCACCATAAAAACATCCAGGCTTGCACCTTTCCCCACAGTTCCCGTCCCACCTCCATTAAACAGTGGAGGGAACTGGGTCTCCAGGGCACAAGAAATTAAATAAAAGATTACTTAGATTACACGGTCAGACCGTGCACAGAAAGGCTCCGTGAACCACCCCCACTGCCCCTTCCCAAGTGCTGCAGCTTAAACCCTGCTGTAAAAGCCCCAAAGCCCAAAGCCGCAAGGAAGGTCTGCCCCAGCAGGCTGCAGACACGTGCAGGATGAAGTGCCTCTTAAGCAGGTAAGGCCAGGTTTTGTGCAGGAGCGGGAGGGAGCACTTAGCTGTTTGGATTGTTCGTATGCCATGCCCTGTCTCCCCAAAGACAAAGTAGGACCAAGAGATGCTGGATGAGGCTGAGTCTAGGCTGGCAAAGGAGCAGAGAAGGGGATGGCTGAGGGGATCCTGCTCCTGCTGCCCGGTTGCTTTCGTTTCAGTGCTCAGCTACAGCAAAAGGGAAAGCTTCCTCCCCCTCTGCCTCCCTCCCCTCTGCAGCCCTAGCTCAGAAGTCATGGCAGAGATGCCGGATTGTGGCTATCCCCATCCCAGCCCCAGCTGAGATCTCTCTGGGAGCTTGTCCTTCCCAGCCAGCGGGGTTCAGAGCAGGGCTGAAGCCACCTGAGGCTTTGACACTGCTTGGCTAAAACCAGCCTAAATCTCAGGCACCAACAACTATGTCTTTAGCAGCCTTTCACCCTACAGCAGAGAGTCCTGTGTGATTTCTATATCAGCAATGGCTGGTGTGTTTAGGACTCCTGAGCCAACCCAGTCCTGATGCTGACTCTTAAGCCCATTAACTCAACCCCGAGGGAGGCGAGTTACTGCTGAACTACAGTCCTGAGAAACGAATGGCGAAGCAGGGCAGGGGCAGAGCCATTAGACATGAGATCTGGCAAGCATCTTATAAGAGGAGTTTCTTACTGTGCTCGAAAGATCCTCTCGAATTCAGGTGGGCCTGAGATCTTTGGAGGAGAAATGCCAAACGCCCTTCTAGCATAGATCACCTGCAGGAAGAAGTAGGCTGTAGCAAAAGAGAGAAAAGTGGCAGTGGTCAGGCCTCTGCTGGGCACGGTGGGGCCAGGAGACCGCCAGAAGTAGGGGCAAAAGATCTGTGGTCTCCTCCTAACCTTGCACCCCCGCATAGCAGAGAAAGCGGGATGAAAATCCCAGATACATTTCAGACAAGGAAAAGGAATGACCCGGTGCAACAGTGAAGCGAGGAGCATGCACTCACGCACCACCAGCGGATATCTGCTTTCTCTCTTGTGTAATTAATAGATCATCTGTTATCTATAGAAATTGCTGCACAGTTCAGATGCACTTTGTAACTGCCAATTTTAAGGTTTTTTCAGTCTTTAATTTTTTCCCCTTCTAAATCCTGATAGCTGAGTAGGGAGGGAAATGATGCCACAGATAAGCCGCCCAGACACCGAATTAAATTATCGTGCAATGTGGAACCACGGCTGGGAGATGTTCCGTGTGGCCCACCACGGCCCGTTCTTCCACCTTTCCGCACCGCAGTGCTCTTTGTATGCTAACGTCTACACGAACCTCAGGAACTGCTGCAAACCCATTTTTCAAAGAAAGAAATTCTACATGTTTGCTGAGGAGAAGATCTACCAAGAAATTTCTGAACTGGGGAGGGAGGTCAGTTCAGAGGAAGGGCTTCCCAGGCACTCCTTTTGTTGAATACGTTTCAAAACCCAGACAAGACATCAGTCCACTGTCTGAAAAGCGGGGAAGTGCCAGTGCAACAACAGAAATGAAATATGGAAGTGAAAGGAAATCAGTGGAGGTGCAGTAGGCTGACCCAGCAAGTATTTGGGCATGTGCATCCGATGGTCCCTACCTTGCTCCAGGACTCCCAGGACTGTCACGGCAGCCAGCAGATGAATCTGGTCCAACATATTGACTCTTCCAGACCCTAGAAAATCTGTTTTCTAGATCAGAAGCTCCTCTGGGCAGGTTTAGTCCTTGCTGATGTGGCAGTCGGTGGTGGTAGCTGGCAGCATAGGTTTGCTCTAATTGAACAGGGAAGATTTGTATGTGGAGCTTAAAACCAGGAGGAGTCCGGCTTGCCTGTTACCATATGTATTGTGGAAATGTAAATTGGTGGAGAGAGGTCTAACGGAGTATTTCCGTTCCCACCCACCCTTTTCCAGGAATGAATTATGACTAAGTGGGAAAGCCAGCAGAGCACTAATGTGTGAGATAAGAGAGGGGAACTGGGAGCTGAATGGGGGGACAAATCTCAACAGCCCAGCTTAGCTGTCAAAGAAACGAAGGACTTTCCTGTGTCAGCTCAAAAAGGGCAAAGGTCTCGTGATGCTTAATGATGTTTGATTTCCCTCTGCTCTTGCCTGATTACAGCCCGCTAGCAGAAGAAAATGCAAAGCAAAACAACTGAACAAACTGTGGGAGTTTAAAACCGCTCCTAACGAAGGCCAAGGCATGTCCCTCTTGCTTATGTTGCATGAGAAACTGCAGCCCCGCGTGAGCTCCTCTGCACCACTCGAGCATCAGGACAGGCAGCGTTTCATGGTACATACCATTGCGTGCACAGACTCTGGAAAATGTGCACTGGGCACGGAGCACGGCTTACGGCCACAACACTGAGACGGCATCGAGTAAAACCCCCGAGTGAAAAACCCACTGCAACTGTAAGACGGGATGTGACAAAGTATAAAAGGTACAGATCTGTCTTGCACGGTGAGACTTTATTTGGGGATGGGTCCTGCAGAATGACTGTTGGACACCGAGAGGGTTTCAGAGCTGGCCCTCGTACTGGAAAGGCCGGGAGCTGTGCATTTAAGGCTTCTCATCAATCCTCAGCCAAATTAACTCTCATCGTAAACACCAGAGAGAGTTCTGCCTGGGTAAAAACCTGAAGAATTCTTCAGGATGTAGCAAAAGGAAAATGATGTTTTCACATGTCAGAAAAGACCCACTCAGCTAATTCCTGTCTAACAGCACAAAGCTGGCATGGCTGCGACCTGCTGAGGCTGCCGGCTTTGTTTCCTTCCTCTCCCTTCATTCGAACAATTTTCCCTTCAGACCAGGGAAAAAGGAAAGCGGGTTAAGACAAAGTGATTGTTAAACATCACTGTTACAGAAAATAAGATCAAAGCAGTTTACAGAAATCACATCATATGCCTGATGTCCTTGATAGACTTTCGAAAAAGTAATAAGCTGGTTCCGGTTTTCTGCCTCTCTGTAAGGGATAAAGGCACCCGAAGAGGCTATAACAATGTCCCAGCTTAGTATTTCTCCAAATATCAAACACAGACACCACCATTTTTCAAGCACCAGCTGTAAGATTAATTCTTTCATCTCAGAATTGATCCTTTTTCATTCCAGCAACTGTTTAGAAATACAAGGAACATTGTGTTTTGTTTTCTCCCATTTAGCTGTCAAAGAAATGAAGGACTTCCCTGTGTCAGCTCAAAAAGGGCAAAGGTCTCGTGATGCTTAATGATGTTTGATTTCCCTCTGCTCTTGCCTGATTACAGCCCGCTAGCAGAAGAAAATGCAAAGCAAAACAACTGAACAAAAAAGATCTGAGCTTACACCTCCATCGGATGACAGTGCAGCACAACCTGCATTAAAAGTGTCAAATATGTGTAAGGAAACCTGGGCCAGGAGGAGCTCTAAAGGCTGCCATAGAGCACTCCCGCTCCCCAGATCATCATTAGGTGCAAAATACTTCTAGTATCATCTAGCGTAGTCCATAATAAAGGCTAGTAGAAACATGAATGAATAAACGAACACAGATGTCTCTCTCCCCTCCTCCTCCCTCCCCCATAAGCATAATTTTTCAAGCTGTCTTTACCTCCTGAAGGGCACGTTTTTCTTGTCCCTGTTTGTCACCATCAGAACTCGCCTTATTTTCCATTCTCACCCAGTGTTTGCAAGAGGCAGACACAAGTACCCTCCTCCCAGCACCAAATGCCCTTCGATGATGAGACTGTCACCGGTGGACAGCCTTAGCATCCTGTGGGCCACGGTGGCCACCAGCATCCCTGTGTAGGGGGTGCCACGGCAGGCTCCAGCTG